CCCCCACCCCCCGGGCAGCTTCCCCTGCTCCCTGAGGCTGGCAGGCCACTGGGGGAGGAGGATGCCCAACTGTGACCAACAGGAGGCCTTTGGTCCCCACAGAACATCACCAACGAGCTGCTGCAGATCGAGCCTGAGAAAGCTCACAGCACAGCCGAGTGCGAGGCCTTCGTGCAGGCCCTTCCGGGCAGTGGCAGCGCACCCTTGCTGAGGACCCGGGTGGAGGACACTAATCGCAGATACGAGCGCCTGGTGCAGCTGCTGGACTTGGCCCAGGAGAAGTGGGTGTCAGGCGGGCAGCAGGGAGGTCAGCTGGGGTCAGGGGGCCAGGCAGGCACCCCCTCACTCCTGACCTGTGTCCTCAGGGTTGCTGTTGCCAACCGCCTGGAGAAGAGCCTGCAGCAGGGCTGGGAGGTGCTGGCCACATATGAGAACCAGCTGACCCAGGACGACACAGTGCCCGAGAGTGGCCGCGCCCTGGACAGCAAGAGGCAGGAGCTGGCGGTGAGTGTGGGGACCCTGGGCCGTGGGAACCTTTCTGTCCAGGCGCTGGCACCCATCAGCTCTGGACAGATGAGAGGCCCAAGACCCTGATGCCCAGGGCAGGAAGTCTCTGCAGGTTTGTATGCCCACAACGCCAACTGGAAGTTGTAAATGGAGGCACATGGCACAAATCCCAGCTGCTCATGGCTTGTGGAAACTGGGTACTTGTATTTTTAAATCAGAGATGTGCATGCTCCCCTCCCCCGAAGATTTCCAGTATCTATGCAGCAGCTGCCACCAAACCCCCAGCATTTACCTGCCTGACCACTATGGATATCCAAGTCTGTGAGCCCAAGGGAGGCCCTTATTCACACATCAATTCACAAAATCCTGGCTGTGTGCTAAGACCCTCACCTCAGAGCCGAGGAAATGGGCCTGGAGGCTGGAGAGCAGCAGGCCATTCTAGTCCTGGGCGCAGCATCACAGGGCACATGCTGCCAACCATGGGGTTTTTAGTTTTTCCAGGTTTTGTTCATTGTAACAAGATGTAACTTTGTAGAAATGGCCACCAGATGTGAGGAGAAACTCAGAGGCAAGGTCCAGTCCCTTCCCACACCCAGGCATTAACACCCCCCCCCCCCAAAACACACACACACACACACACAGCAGGTGTCCCCAAGCACCTGGGCAGTGCTGCCTTGGCCCCTGCAAGCTCTAATCACAGCGCCCACCCACTGGCTGCCTCTCCACCCCACAGGCCATGGCCTCCGAGCTGCAGGCCCAGAAGTCCCTCCTCAGTGAGGTGGAGCAGAACCTGCAGGCTGCCAAGCAGTGCTCCAGCTCCCTGGCCAGCCGCTTCCAGGAACACTGCCCTGACCTGGAGCGCCAGGAGGCCGAGGTGCACAAGCTGGGCCAGCGCTTCGACAACCTCCGCCAGCAGGCTGAGCTCAGGTGAGGAGCTCAGGTGAGGGGCCCGGGTGGCCTGGCTGAGCTAGTCTGCCTTGAGGCCAAGATGCTCAACCGTCACTACCAAAGGCTGTTTTCTAAATAATTTCTGCTTTTTGAAAAAGTAATATATATACAAAGTAAAACACTCAAAGTAATTATGACCCTTTGTATGCCATAAGCGTCTATAGACATAAGGATGGTTTCCGTGTTGGATGCGTGGCAGTTAACTGGTTAATGACCAGCCCCACTTTCCCAAGGTAAACACTGCTACCAGTTTCTTATGAACCCTTCCAAAAAGGTGTTCTGTACAAGCTGGGGTAAGGGGTTAACACATGAATGACAACATATCATGTACGCTGTATCTTGCTGTTTTTCCTGTCATATATTTTATAAGCCTCATGAGTCAGTTAAGTAGTCCCTTCTCCTCTTCTGTTTTCTGGAAGAGTTTGTATAAAACTGATATTACTTCCTTAAATGCTTGGTGGAATTCTCCAGTGAGGCTGTCTGGGCCTGCATTTTTTGTGAGAAGGATTTCAACTACAAATTCAACCTCTTTACATATTTGGTAAGGAGAGGGAGAGAGAGAAAGAGAAACATCAATCAGCTGCCTCCTGCAGGTACCCTGAATGGGGATTGAACCTGAAACCTGGGTATGTGCCCTGACTGGGAAGCAAACCGGTGACCTTTCAGTACACAGGACGATGTTCAACCAAATGAACCACACTGGCCAGGGCTCATCTCACTCTTGAGTAGTTTGTGTCTTTCAAGGAATTTATCCATTTCATCAAGTTGGTAAACTTATTGGCATAAAATTTTTCATGATATTCTCTTATCACTGCCTGCAGGTTCTGAGTCTATATCCCCTCATTCCTGATGTTAAATCTTCTTTCATTGTATATGTACATTCTCTTTTATCAATTTATTGACCATTTTAAAGAACTAGCTATGGTTTCAATGATTTTTCCTGTTTTCTTATTTCCGGTTGCATTGATATCTGCTTTTTATTATTTCCTTATTGCTGCTTAATTTAATTTGCTCTTTTTATTTCTTAAGGTGGAAGCTTAGATTGTTGATTTGAGAGCATTCTTTTCTAATACAAACATTTAATCCCATACTTTTCCCTCTCAGCAGTTTTTGCTGTGTCCCACACATTTTGGTATGTTTTTATTGAGGTCCTATAGCACACAGTATCTCTGCATGTCAGTACATGTGGACCTACCTACCTGTTCTTCACAGAGGCCAGGGAGGACTCCAACTTAACATTCCATAATTTGCTTAACTATTCCCTTTCTAGTGAACATTAAATTACATTTGTATTCCAGTTAAATTACATTCATCCCCCACCCCCCTAAATACACACATTTTAAAAAATGAAAACACACACAAAGAATACAGATTACTCCTTTAAAAGGGACAGGAGAAACTTTTTTTTTTTTTTAAAGAGGAAGGGAAAGTGAGATAGAAACATCAATGAGAGAGAAACATTGATCAGCTGCCTCCTGTACAACCCTCACCAGGGGTCGAGCCCACAACTCGGGCATGTGCCCTGACCAGGAATCGAACCATAACCTCTTGGTGCATGGGCCACATAAGCTCAACCACTGAGCTACAGCGGCTGGGCAGGGACAGGGTAAGGTTTTAGTGAGACATCTTCTCGCTGTGCCAGAGGCCTGACCAGCTTTGCTCCTGCAGGGCCCAGAGCCTGCGGAGTGCCAAGGCTGCCTATGATGACTACCGCAGTTGCTGCGACCACATGCTCCAGTTCTTGTCCAACATCCCAAGCTATGAGCCCCAGGAGACAGACAGCCTTAACCAGATGGAGACCAAGCTGAAGAATCAGAAAGTAAGACAACTGCTTCTGCTTTCACAGGCATAGTCACAAGGTGGGGTCAGAGGTCAGTCATTCCCCTTTGTGGAGAGCCAGGAGTGGCTGCCGTTTGCTCTGGCAGAGCTGTGATTTCACGGGACCTTGGCCCTGCCTGGCTCCCAGCACTTAACTCTGAGAACAAGGACAGTCTTGCTCACTTCCCCCTCCTCAGTACCCAGCATGGGTCCTGGCCCAGAGTGGACACTCAGTGCAGGCTGGCTGAGTGAGTGAATGGCTACAAAAATACAAGAGGCCCCCGCATGGGGAAAAATCCCATTTTCAAAGTTCAGAGTCCTGGGTCCTCAGAAGGCAGCAATGACAATAGGGTGAGGGAGGAGGAACATGAGAACCCAAATGCCAGTTCACTATTAGCTGTGCCCCTCAGGCAAGCCACTGAACCTCACTGTGCCTCGGTTTCCTCACTTATAAGCTGGGTAATGATGGTACTTACCTCACAGGATTGTTGGAAGATTAAATGAGGTCATCTAAGTTACATATTAGAACAGTGCCTGACATTTTGAAGCACACAGTAAACATTCTTTTCCTGGCAAAGATAATCTTGGCCCTTCTTCACCGGGCCTTAGAATTGACTTTATAACCAACACATGCATACAAGAAAGCCATTCATTGTACTCTGTACAACAGAAGAAGAATTTCAGATTTAAGGAATCTAGCTAATTTATCAAGGTTGTTCTTTTTTTGTTTTGTTTTGAAAGTCTCTGTTGTTTTACAGAACCTGCTGGATGAAATAGCAAGAAGGGAACAGGAAGTTCAGAAAGTCTGCGCTCATTCCCAGCAGTACCAGCAAGCTGTCAAGGTGAGAAGCGAAGTCCCACCCAGAGTGTAAAACATCAGGGCCTCTGGGAAGAGGAGCACTGGGCCTGGCAGGGTCATCCTCAGGCCCTGCTGGCAGCCATGCAAACTGGCACAGCCCTTTGGGAAAATAATATATTAGGCATCAAATACCAGAGAAGGGTTTTCTACTGTATGAAGCAGTAAACTGGGGGGAATTTATCCTAACTGGAAAAATACAGAATAACACCAATATAGGATAAATGAAATCACTGTAACAGCATTATATATAATAGCAAAATAGACAAACTAGAAATAACCTAAATGTCCAATAGCAAAGGAATGGCTAGGTAACTTATCATCCATCCACTTGATGGATTATAAAGTCGTTCAACTGACAAACCAGAGGATAGGAGGGGGCAACATGAGACAAATGGAGAAGCACAGCATCATCTCTAGCGTGAAGGGAAGGCCTGAAGGGAGCCCTTTGGGGAGGCGAACTGTGGGCATACTTTTCCTTGTTTCACATGTTGTTGAGGGACATAGCTATGTATTGTTGATGTATTGAAGGTTCTCAAAAACTCCTGGCAGACAGTACAGAGTGCAGCTGAGTGGAAGACCTCTGCAGTCAGCTGGCAGGGCTGTAAGAATATTGTAGCCGCAACTGACCTTGTCTGCCCTCTGCCATGTCTCTCCCCCAGGACTATGAATTAGAAGCAGAGAAACTAAGGTCCCTTCTTGACTTGGAGAATGGAAGAAGCGGCCACGTGAGCAAAAGAGCCAGGCTCCAGTCCCCTGCTGCCAAAGTGAGGGAAGAGGTGAGCTCTGTGGGTAGGCGTTCTCAGAGTTGTGCAGCCTTCCAGGGAGCATGGCATGCAGGCCTCAGAGATGCAGGCACAACATGGAAACTGGGCTGAGAGCTTTCCTGGGTGCAAACAGGTTTTGTAAGAGAAGATAATGAACTTTTTCTGGGACAGCGACATTGATATACCTAGAAAGACAGCCTGCTGGAGGTATCTGGGTCAGAGCCATGGATTAGAGAGGTTCCCACTCTGCTCCCCCTGCCCAATACATATACAGGAGGCCGTTATTATTTCCTCTATACACAAGAATATTAACGCTCAAACAGAGATCTGCTCAAGGCCACTGGGAATTAGACTTCTGACTCTAAACCCAGTTTTCTCTCCACCAGACGACTGTAGTAGAACTCTAAGTAGGAAGGGACAAGAAGCTACCCTCTATCCCCAAATGCCAGACTTTTCAAAACCCGTCCTAGCTCTTTCCCCCTCAGTCTATTGACTCCTATTTGCTGAATGCTCCCCTATAGGAAGCGACCCTTACTGCCAAGTTCACCGAAGTTAACGCCATCAACAGACAGAGGCTGCAGAACCTGGAGTTTGCTCTGAATCTACTGAGACAGGTAATGAATCTTAGTGTAACACATTCTACTCAAAACTGTTCCAGCAGGTGAGAAACAAGACTCGTTCAGCCTCAAAGAAACAGCCTGTAAACTAGGGGGAGTGTCCCTTGCAAACACGGCTGGGCAGCACCAGTGCAAATACTGGCCCAAGCCAGAACCCCTATTGACATGAGTGTAACATATATTTCCTCCAACAGACGTTTGCTGAGTACCTAGTAGAGGTAACATGTTAAAAGTCCAGAATGTTTATGATAGCATTGAAATAACAAGAAACTGGAAGCAACTCAATACTCATCAGCAATGGGTAATTAAATTATGGTCTGTCCACATGCCGCTGTTAAACAGTGAAGTAGAGCTCTCTGTGCTGCTGTGAAATTTCCTCTATCTAGATTAAGTGCAACAAGGGTGCACAACAGGTGACTTACCATTTGTGCAGAAAAATAAACATTTGGCACACACTAAAAATATACAGTAGGTCCTCGGGTTACGTGGGAGATCCGTTCCTACGGTGCGACGTAACACGATTTTCTCCGTAAGTCAGAACCCACCTACATAAGCACCTACGTCACTCACATGGAGCACATACACAGCAGTAATGAAGTGAAACAGTAAAAAAAAAATTAAAAGAAAGATAACAATTCCTGACCTTTACTTGTGTTAAATAAATAAAAAACATAAAGCACATATGTACATATGTCGAAATGATGGAACTTTTTTTTTTTATAAATAAATGGGAGATGGTGATGTAACCACGAAACGACGTATGTCGAGTCCGACGTAACCCGAGGACTGCCTGTACTTGTCATAAGATGACAGATACCCTTCTAGCAATAGGACAGGACCAGAGGTGGAAGACTGATTTCCTTTCACACTCTATGGTTTTAAAATATTTTACCAGATGAATTTTAAGAAAACCTAAACCAGCTGTTTAAAAGTAACCCTAGAACTCCTGTGAACCCAGCACTTGGAGTCCCTTGGAGATCACAGAACCCCCAGTCTGAACTGTTTACATAACCATGCACTGTCTTCTCCCTCCCAGCAGCCAGAGGTAGGAGTGACCCATGAGAGTCAGCAAGGGAGCCAGCCGGGCTCCAGAACAGAGGAGTCGTGGAAGATTCGGAAGGAGCTGGACGAGGAAACTGAGCGGAGGCAGCAGCTGGAGAAGGAAGTCAAGAGTGCCCAGGAGGAAATCCAGATTCTGCAGAATCGGAACCCTCAGGAAGCAGTGGTGAGGAAGGAGGTGCTGAAGAAGGTTCCGGACCCTGCACTTGAGGAGAGCTTCCAGCAGATGCAGCGGACGCTGACGGAGGAGCAGCACAAGAACCAGCTGCTTCAGGAGGAGTTGGAGGCGCTGCAGCTGCGGCTACGCGCCCTGGAGCAGGAGACCAGGAACGGCGGGCAGGAGTACATAGTCAAGGAGGTCCTGCGCATCGAGCCAGACAGAGCCCAGGCCGACGAGGTCCTGAGGCTGAGGGAGGAGCTGGAGGAGCTAAGGCGGCAGAAGGGCACCCGGGAAGCAGAGGCGGTCCTCCTGCAGCAGCGCATCGCGGCCCTGGCTGAGGAGAAGAGCCGGGCGAGGGAGAAGGTCACTGAGAAGGAGGTGGTGAAACTGCAGAATGACCCCCAGCTGGAGGCAGAATACCGGCAGCTGCAGGAGGACCAGCAGCAGGAGGGCAAGCACAGGGAGAAGCAGGAGGAGGAGCTGAGCTTTCTGCAGGACAAGCTAAAGAGACTGGAGAAGGAGAGGGCCATGGCTGAGGGGAAGGTCACCGTCAAGGAGGTGCTCAAGGTGGAAAAGGACATGGCAGTTGAGAGGGAGGTTGGCGACCTGAAACGCCAGTATGAGGACGAGTCTGCCAAGGCTCGTGCCCACCAGAGGGAGAAGAGTGAGCTGCTCCGAAAGATTTGGGCCTTGGAAGAGGAAAATGCCAAGGTGGTGGTGCAGGAGAAAGTGCGGGAGATCGTCCGGCCAGACCCCAAGGCAGAGAGTGAAGTGGCCAACCTCCGCCTGGAGCTTGTGGAGCAGGAGCGCAAGTACCGGGGTGCCGAGGAACAGCTGAAGAGCTACCAGGGTGAGCTGGAGGCACTGCGGAGGCGGGGCCCGCAGGTGGAAGTCAGAGAGGTGACGAAGGAAGTCATTAAGTATAAGACTGACCCTGAGATGGAGAAAGAGCTCCAGAGGCTCCGGGAGGAGATCGTGGACAAGACCAGACTCATCGAAAGGTGTGATTTAGAGATCTACCAGCTGAAGCAAGAGATCCAGGCTCTGAAAGACACTAAACCCCAGGTACAGACCAAGGAGGTAGTCCAGGAGATCCTTCAGTTTCAGGAAGACCCCCAAACCAAAGAGGAAGTAGAGTCTTTGAGGGCCAGACTATCAGAGGAACAGAAAAAGCAAGTGGACCTGGAAAGGGAGAGGGCTTCCCAAGAGGAGAAAATCAAACAGAAGGAGGAGGAGCTTTCCCAGGTGAAGGAAAAGGTGGTCCAACAGGAGGTAGTCAGGTACGAGGAGGAGCCGGGCTTGCGAGCTGAGGTGGATGCCTTCACCCAGAGCATTGATGTGGAGCTCCGGCAGATCGACCACCTGCGCGGGGAGCTGCGGCGGCTACAGCGCAGACGGGCCGAGCTGGAGCGGCAGCTGGAGGAGCTGGAGCGTGAACGGCAGGCGCGCAGGGAGGCCGAGCTGGAGGTGCAACGCCTGAAGCAACGGCTGGCCGACCTGGAAAAGGAGGAGGGGGAAGCCCAAGAGAAGGTGACCCACAAGCAGAAAGTGGTGCTACAGCAGGACCCCCAGCAGGCCCGGGAGCACTCCCTGCTCAAGCTCCAGCTGGAGGAGGAAAGGCACCGGCGGCAGGTCCTGGAGAGTGAACTGGAGACCCTAAAGAAGAAGCTCATCAACCTGGAGAAGATGGAGGTCAAGGAAAAAGTGGTCTTCTCCGAAAGCGTCCAGGTGGAGAAAGGTGACACTGAACAGGAAATTCAGAAGCTCAAGAGCAGCCTGGAGGAGGAGAGCCGGAGCAAGAGGGAACTGGATGCCGAGGTGGGCCGGCTGGAAGCCAAGCTGTCAGAACTGGAGTTCCACAACTCCAAGTCGTCCAAGGAGCTGGACTTTCTCAGGGAAGAAAACCACAAACTACAGCTGGAGCGGCAAAACCTGGAGCTGGAGACCCGGAGGCTCCAAACGGAAATTGAAATGGCGGCAACGGAAACACGGGACCTGAGAAACATGACCACAGTGGACTCTGGGACAAACCTCGACTCCAGACTATGGTCCCTGGAGAGAGAGCTGGATGACCTCAAAAGGCTCTCCAAAGACAAAGATCATGAGATCGATGAGCTGCAGAAGCGCCTGGGCTCTGTGGCCGTCAAGAGGGAGCAGAGAGAAAACCATCTGCGGCGCTCCATTGTGGTCATCGACCCTGACACAGGCCGGGAGCTGTCCCCGGAGGAAGCCCATCGGGCTGGCCTCATCGACTGGAACATGTTTGTGAAACTCAGAAGTCAGGAGTGCGACTGGGAGGAAATATCAGTCAAGGGTCCCAACGGGGAGTCCTCCGTGATCCACGACAGGAAGTCTGGCAAGAAGTTCTCCATTGAAGAGGCCCTACAGAACGGGAGGCTGACCGCTGCTCAGTACGACCGATATGTCAACAAGGATATGTCCATCCAGGAGCTGGCCGTCCTGGTGTCTGGGCAGAAGTAGGCACAGCCCTGCCCCTCAGTCCCCTGGAAGCTGACGCTGGCTCTCTCCTACCCCATACCTTCTTCTCCCTGGCCCTGTGCAGGCTCCTAATCCATGCGGAGCGGAGCATGCCACCCATGCCTTCTCGGCCAAGCTACTCAGAGTATAGCTCACGTACAAGCAGAATGGTCACTGGCTGCACCATCATTTAACCCAGGTGAGAGACCTGCTTCATCCTCCAATGATTCAAAATCACAAAGCCCTTCTTTTCTCTCCCTTGTCCTACACACGTCCATCAACAGACTCCTTGTGGGAAACCTGGAAGCAATCCGAACACTACTAAAGCACAAGACCACTGAGGCAGACCAGCCCCTCCATGCAGCAATGGCCTTCGCACACCAGATGGGGAAACTCTAGGGCAGAAAGGCCTCCCTTATACACACCCTTCCATTCATCAAAGGACTGGGCCCCTTGGGGCTGCCGACCTGCACTCACACCCCTCCAGGAGTCTGGCTGAGAGCCAACTTTCCCTCAGACTTCTAATGGTGAGACAGATCTGGGATCTGTGCCAGAAAAGGCGCAAAGAAACCAGCACAGGCCCCTCTGTCAGCCTGACTGTCCCAGGAGAACACTCCATTCGAGACTTTTCTGGTTCTGAAATTAAAGTGTTTTCGTTGTGGACTGTGTTGCTGTTAGCCTTAGCTTCAGGGCCTTACAAGTCTTGTTTATTCTCTAATTGGTACTTAGGTATACTACACAGTTGATTTTTCACCAAATTAATTTCAGGTTCTCTGTATCTCCTATATTACATAAGAAAACGGAAAGAAATAGGGAACTCCACCTTATAGCGCAAAAAATAAACACCTGGTGGCTTGACTCTAATTTTATGCTAAGTGTGTTTTTTCCTCCTGTGTGTGTGTGATTTATTGCCCCTACTCCCTCTTGGTTTTCAGCCAGGATATCCCATATGGATATCCATTTACCAGTCCCAATCACTTACCAGTTCCTATGGGAGAAAGAATTATTAGCAAATATGGCAAAAAGAATGAGAAACAATGTATTGGAAACCTTGAAACAATTTATTAAGTTGCTTTATACAAGATTAACAATTTCCACACCACCCCCTAATACCAACCTAGTGGCTGCACCAAAGCCACAGCCCCTTTCACACTTAAGAAACGGCCGCACCAAGGAAAGCCCTGCAGCACCGCAGCCCCCAGGCCTGGAGCCCGCTCTGCCTGTAGATCTGCCTTGCCATGGCTGTTTAAGTCATTCACTCTTTCATTACCACAAATAAAGCATAAACAAGAAAAAGAAATCTCCCCATCAAAGAAACGTTTCCCTGAGGCAAGAGGCATCACTAGATTCCTATAAATGAGGGTATTCTGCTCCAGCTGCACACTCAATGGTATGGGGGGAAGAGGGGGCACTGCAGGGGAACCGGATGTCTTGGGCAGAAAAGGAGCTCATGGGCAGTCTCTGCACGGCTCTGAGCTCAGCAATACAAATCTCTTCTTTGGCTCTTTTGCTACTTCCTAAGACTATTCTGTAAACAAACTGGAAATCCAAGTTGCAAAATATATATATAATAAAGGGATAAGAAATCCATGTAGGCCCATGTGAAACGTGTTGGTTCCTATGTAAAAAGTCAGAGCAGAGGCCTTGCTCCTCGGACACTAGACAAACCTCAGCATAAAGCATGAGTTACTGAGCACTGGACCCTGGGTGCCAGGAACCAAAAGAGCTGCCTGTGTCTCCACATAGGTCTATATTCTGAGGAGGCTATATACTCTCTAAATATTTGAAATCACTTAGCTGGAGCAGTCAGTTGAGACATGCCTGTGGCAGAGACTTCACAGGACAGGCAAGTGCCCTAAAACTCCTCGTGAAGCAGCCAATGGTTAAATGGGAACAGCGTAATGACTTGGGAGCTCCGGGTTAATCGTCTTAAGTCTGTCTCTAATGCACTCTCCAAGCTCAGTGGTGCGTCACCCTTAAGTCAGGCATAGCCCCGCTGCCTGGAGAGCCCTAGGACTTCAAGGCCTGTCTATACAGCAGACACTTCACAAAGGCCCACACCTGCAGCTCTGCCTGAGAATGATTTCTAAATAAGCTGGAATGTCTATCTGTAACTTGGAACCTTTCATATCCTTGCCCTCAAAGGCCTTTGGGGCTCTGCAGTCCACCTGTATGAACTCTGGAAAAACAAAACAGAGGCCCTGGCTGAATTGGGACCTGGGATTTGAGGACCCAGATGACCTTTAAGTCAGGACAGCAGAGATTATGATGTGCAATGATAAAAAGCCTCAAATAAACTGGCTACGTCTTAAGTACAGACATCTTTTTAAAAGGTCTTCATCTGAGAGCCACACAGAGGGCCTAATGGATGTGTGTCTAATTCTGCTCCACCATAAAGGCACTGGGATTATGTCTTCCATATGACGTGTGAAAATATGACATGTGAAGAACAGTCCCACTCTATCTAATGCATTGATGGTAATGATGAAAACTGAGCCAAAAATAAGTGTCTTTAAAAATCCTATCACAATTGTTGAATCTACAAAGATCTTTCTTTAAAAGAGCTTCATTGTCATGTTTAGAGGATAAACTGGCCCCCGTGATGAGCACACACTAGCTGTTCTGAGTATTTTTCAACGAGACAAGGTAAGTCTCCCAGCTATGGCATTAGCCTGGGTTTCTGTCCATTGAGCACACAGCCTGAGGATGGGATAGACACCATGACCATCCAGGGACCCTAGTGTGGCCAAAAGGAGCCCCCGCCAGTGGGGTGCCATGAGTTACTCTGACCAAATGCCAGGGGGTTGGGCAGACTTACAACACAGGTGTGCCAACGCTCAGTCCTGCCACCAGAGCTCCGTACATGACCCAGTACACTTCCCAGCCTAGAGCTGCCCCTCCAACGATTGTCCGCGACAAAGCCATGAGGCCCGGATCACCAGGCCAGTCAGTACCTCTGGAGAAGCACGAGGCTGCTCCCAAGTGAAGGCACGTCACAAGTGCCAAGAGACGTTCCACTTAGCACTCACGCCTTCTCCAGAAGAAAACCGATCGGCAGAAAGAGCGTATTGATTATCCAATTTTTCAGAGACCTATTAGTTCAGCTTCCAGCATTTCCTCTGAAGAGGTCACAATTTCCGTGGAACACCAGCCCCTTTCCCATGAAGCTGAGAAGCATCTGGAAAAGAATAAGCAAAAACAATATAAATCTTTCAGGATCTCTGATTTTCTTAAGGCAGCAGTAACCAAACCTCAAGGAGGTCACTTCTGTATGTTGAGTATGCTGAGGTTCAAACGAGCCACAAACACTTGACAGAGGTGATTTCAGTGTGTTGTTACTTATAGCAGCCTGCAGCGTGAAGGCAGCTGCTCATGGAGTGCTGTGTTCACAGCAACTCTACTATGCAATGTGGGCCACTTCTGTTCTTGGCTACAACTATGCAATGGCACATGGGTTCCATGATGGGGTTTGATAGTCACACTGAAGTCAAGGAGCAATCAACATTCTCACCATCAACAGATCCTCAGGTTCTATAAAGACAAGTTCAAAGGCACTAGCATTGAGTCCACATAGGAAAAAAAGCAAATCAGAAATAAGTTACACAATTAAAATGTCCAGACAGCTTCTCATTTACAACCACTCAATGGAATCCTACAGCCTGAAGAAGGTCTAAAGGAGAGAAGAAAAGCCTACTCAGCCTGTTTTAGCAGAGATGCTTTTCTGATAGCCTTTTAATACCCAGAGGAAAAATAGGGAAGAAATGGTACAAGAAAGCACTTTTCCCTTTTTTTGCTGAAAATACCACAGACCAACAGTCACATTTCCAAAGGCTCTTCATTATTGTCTCTGTTTAAAAGGGTGACATTCCTAAAAGCAGCAGAAGCAGTGCAATCTCTCTTTGAAAAACCACAAGCTCTCACCCAGGTAGCTCTGCAACCCCTATATTATCATCTCAGCTACAGCAGCAGCCACCAGTTTGTGGAGCAAGTCTACACTACATTTTACTGCTTCTCCAGGGGAAAACGGAGTAGCTGCTGATACAAGCTTAGCCCTAGGTTTTTATTTGAGAAGCAACAATTCCATCTTGGAGATTTACAATCCATTCCTGTACCAGATGGCTGCTGGCATTCACTACAAATGCATCAGTTTAAGGACACAGGGGCCAGGGACCCACTGCAAAATCTGGGACAGACTTGGGCCATGTCGAGGCCAGTGCTCTCAGTATAGCAGGTGTCAGGCATGCCCAGCTGGATGAATCCCATCTTACTGCCACAGGGTATCAGTCTGCCAGGGCGGATCCAGGCGGGTATCAGTCTGCCAGCTTCCTGAAGCATGGCTCTCCCTGACCAATGAGGCCCCTGGTCGTTTCCAGAGAGTAGTAAGGGTAGTAGGCCAAAACCAAGATCCCTGAGGCTCTACAACAGCATTCCATTAGCTGCATCTAAGAATCAGGTCCTAGCACAGGGTAAGGCCAATTGCTGATGACAAAGGTGCCAGCTTCTCACAGCTATAAACCTAGAGCTTGTACAGTGCCCCTTTCTGAAAGTCACTGCTCTCTGGAGAAGAAAATTGGGAGAAGGAAAGAGGGAACGCTGTCCCAATTCCTGTTGTGCTCCCAACTCTCTGCCTTTACATCTGAACTGAACTGACAGCTGCTCCTCTCTTGAATACATGCTGACATCAAAGGTAAAGATCCCTCCTGAAGCCTTGCCACTGTGACCTCTTGCTATTACTTGGACTTCCCCTTTCACTTAAATTTACAGAGCCTTCTGTTAGCTGGTACTACCTGGAAGGTGTAGCACCTTGAATTTAAAGGCCTGTAGTGCCCCAACTAGCCAAGGGTTGGGGATTCCTCTGCCTCGCATACAGGTCACCCTGACTTCCTCTGTGATCACATGGGGTAAGGCTGACCCAGTGGCAGAGGACCAGGGGAAATCACAAAATGGAAGAAACCTGTCCCATTCCAAGTACCCACAGAACAAGAGCCTCAAAAGACAAATCAAGACAGCACAGTGATAATACGGTGAAGATACTGAAATCTTTGGCAGCAGACGGCATCTACTGAGTGGAGAGGGGAATGACACACAGTGCACATGGCACTCTGACCACCTGGCAATTAATTACCTGGGAGACTCTGCGGGACGTGGGTAGACACGGCAGCGTGTGGGAGAGGTGCTGCGTGGGGTGGGCTGGAGTGCAAGCCAGCCAGGAGACCTGAGAGAAAACAGGAGGGAAGAAAAGAACAAGACACGCACATTGAAGACAAGAACAGAAAAGCATCCTTGGTGATTCAGAGCCCCAGACAACCTACTGGCCAGTCCTGGTGTAAGACCCTGAGGAAGGGTTCAGCACAGTCCCTGAAAATGTTGCCCACAGCCATACATCAGACACACACGAGAACCCCGTACACGACAACAGAACTCACTGATCACAGTAGTAGTCCCGGGGCACCTTTTGTGCCTCCAAATGAGGAGAGGAAAGGGAGAAGTACTTACTGTGGCTGAGGCCATGGTGAAACGTCCCAGGGGCAGGGCCCGTGACGATGGCATCCTTGGAGACCCCTGCTTTCGCAGAGGAGTCGGCGCTAAAGGAGAGCACACGGAGAGGAAACGGAGAGATGATCCCCAGGGAGTTTGAGTTCACAGCCCCGGGCAGCTTTGGGCCGCCTGTCTTGTAGGATGAGGATAGCAGATTTAAGGGCGATGAGCTGGTCAATAGCACAGCCCCACTCGTTCCTTTCTGGAGATGAAACACACAAAAGGATCAGAGCTCCAGCCTGTCCATGGCCTGCTCACAAACCAAACCTGTCAACACACAGGGTAGGGACATCGACTGCTCCTTATGCAGGAACCCTAGTCTGCAGCCCCAAAGAGCGAGAACAGTCTCTAAACTGGCCTAACATGCCTCCTAGGACACAGTGTTCACTTTAAAAAGCAGGATGTTAAATATGCCTCCTTTGTGCAAGAAAGAAAGGGAAGAATATTATATATAGACATCCACAAATGTAGGTATGAACAGATATATGTATTTTTATATACATAAGCCACACACACACATTTGTATGTAATAATCTTTTAAAAGAAACGGGAAAACCCTGGAAACTAAGGGACAATGTTACCTTGTTGGGTGATAGACATAGGGCAGAAGCCAGTGAGACCTCACTGAACATACCTTTCTGTAGTTTTTTCTTTGCAACCAAATAGTCGTTTTACATAGTGGAGAAAATAAAATACTCTCTCCCATTTCCCCAACCTGCACCCAACTTCTGTAATTCCTACAGGCAGGCCTCACCAGCCATTGCACTCTGTCAGATCACCTTTGACCTGCAGAGTCCTTCAAAACCCAATTGGGAGAATCACTTTTAGAAGTACTCATCTTCCTACTGTATGAACATCTCTACATAACTAACGATCTGATAGATAGTATTAATTTCACTAACTCGTTTGGAGAGATGGGACAGATAGGAAGCCATGAAAGGAAAGTTTTGTGACTCATTCCACACCTTCTAGATTCATAGCCTCCCTGCAAACACAGTGCTGACCAGTCCTTTCTCTCCACTCATCCTCCTAAGAAGTTTCAGGCTTTCTTGGGATTCATGCCAACAGAAAAGATAAGACGGGAAAACAGGAAGCCAGTCCTTATTATTTCTGGGTTTACTGTTCCAACCCAACCTCCAATTTCAGTTGTCTGACCAGGGCAAGGCAGGTGGCCTTGTCCACAAGACCCATAAGGGAGGCTGCTGTACCAGGATACTCACTGGCAAGGAGGTAGACGATGTCACGCTGCTAACTGCACTGGGCTTCAGGGAGGAGGTCAGTAACTTGGCCACTCCCTGGGTCCCACCACTAGAATCTCCACTTGGACCCCCAGGAGGGGCCACTAGGGTCAGCTTCTGGGAAACAGGCGGTTTTTTCACTGCAGAGCCTGGGACAGGTCGGCTGGCAGGCTGTCCTGTGGAGGCAGGTTGTGCACCAGGGAGCAGATTGCCAGAAGTGGAGCTCTGGACTGGTGTTCCTACAGAAGAGCTGCCAGAAGAAATCCCGTGTTTGGAGATAGAGCCGGCAAAGGGGCTATTCTTGTAAGATGGCCCTGAGGAGCTGGCTGAGTGCTGTTTTGCTGGATGGCTCAGGGCAGCGGAGGACAAGGCTGGGGTCTTATGAGAACTACTGCTGGAGGCTGGCGTGCCTCCTGAAGAGGCTGGTGTGGAGGAATGGAAGCTCTGGCCTTTGGCTGCCGTCTTCACAAGCTGGATGAGGGAACGATGACACTGTGGGGAAGAAGGCTTTGGGCCCTGGAGCTTACTGACAAATGGAGCCGGGGGGGTGAAACTCTTTTGTTGTTGAGTGCCTGCATGAAAGACTTTTACTTGGGGGCCAGGCACGGGAGCTGCTGTCTGGGGTGCATGAGACGTCCGTGGCAAACCATGGTGTTTTGCTTTGGACTGGTGCCCTTCTGGCAGGCCCTTGCTCAGGGAAACCTGACAGGACAGCTCTTTATAGCCAGAACTCTCTGGTTTTTTCTCCTGAGAGGACTGCCCCAGTGCCAGAGCCTGTTCAGCCAGAAAATTGAGGGGTGACTGCAGAGAGCTGGAGGGTGGTGGGGCAGAAGGGCTAGCCTTCGTAAAGTTCCTTTTTTCTTCCGTACATAAAACACCTGCAACTTTCTCTGCAGGCACTTTCGAGGGTGCAGGCAATGTGAACTCGGAGCTCCCACTAGCTCTGCTGTTCAGCGCAGCCAGTTCCTTGGACACAGCCTCCAATGAGGAGGCTGAATTATGGATCAAGTCTCCATCCAACGAGTTCTCCAGGCTGACAGGAACAGGATTTGTTTGGTTGCCCAATGCCTGGGACGAAAGCTCCCTGTTTGCAGCTCCAGAGTTCAGGCCTCCTCCCGGGTGTTCTGAAGGCAAAGCCAAGGGCCCGCCAATCTGGCCTGATGAGACGGAAACCTTTTTATCAGGCTTAACAGATGATTCCTAAAGGAAAGTAGAAATGCTGATGTTAAGAAATGCCCAAAGACGCCAACACTGGTCCTGTTGTAAGAATGCATGTGTAAGCCCTAACTGGTTTGGCTCAGTGGATAGAGCGTTGGTCTGCGAACTGAAGGGTCCCAGGTTCGATTCTGGTTGGGGGCATGTGCCTTGGTTGCGGGCACATCCCCAGTGGGGGGTGTGCAGGAGGCAACTGATTGATGTTTCTCTCTCATCAATGTTTCTAACTCTCTATCACTCTCCCTTCCTCTCTGTAAAAAATCAATAAAATATATTTAAAAAAAAGAATGCATGTGTGAGAATACCACAAGGTCCCAAGAATCAGGCCTTCCTATGTAATCACAAATAAGGGGGACAAGCGCAGGTGACAAGCCTCTGTGGACTTGAACACGTCCATCTGGCTGGGCCTGGGCTTACCCAAGCATGTTCTGTTGCTAAGTACACATGAACCCACAGGGAAATGCTTCTTTTCTCTGATTTTGAAAAAATACAAGACTTGAGCAAAGACACTCTCCCTACTGGCTCACACACACTATCTCAGAACGTTCCTAACTGTAATCAGAAAAGGATGCATGGCATGAAAACTGCCTTAAATTAGTTTTCTTTTCCTCCTTGATTTTTCCAAGCACCTGTCCCCTCAGGGGGTTCAAAAGAAAAGTCCTTTCATGGGGTAACAATGGGAGCTATCTCATCACTCCTACATCCTAAGTGCTAAATGCAGTGTGCCTGAGACATTGCAGGAGCTCAACAGATACTTAGATATAAACAAAGTAAATAGCTTATTCTCCCACACTGTTCTGGTATGGTTAAGGGCACTATAAAGCGTCTGGAATTTATAAAATTTTAGTAACATAGCAATTTCTACTACATTGAGAGGTTTCTGCAATATCTAAGCTCATTTTCAGTCTCTATTCTCTAATCACTGTACTTCCTTTCATTTCTGCTACTTAAACTCAACAAACCACCTTTCCTTTCCGTGTAGCTCTAGGCTAACCTACACTTGGCTAGGAGTGTGCTCTTCCATAAAAATATCTTTATCACAATATAATACTCTCACATATGCAGGGGCTTTTCATGCCTCAGACAGCTGTCAGGAAGACCTCATTTAATTCCACAACAACCTTGGGAACTGGCCAGGTGGGTACTGCTTCCTAAAACTGAGGATGGAGGGTATAAGTGCCCCAGCTCGGATCTCTGCCCTGCCAACAATCCAAGGCTCCTCTGGTGGACCTGGCCTGCCTCTTGGTACAACCTCAAGAATACCATCCTGAAGAGCTGTCCCCCAGAGCAGCAAAGCTCAATGAGCTGCCATCGTCATTCAAAAGGTTTCATGAGCATAGCTGGAGAGAGAGAACAGATGGTACATGACCTGAGCAGGCAGACTCACCTTCACCTTGATTTTGGAAGGAGCCATTACTTTCTTCTTGGCCCTGAACAAAAGAATGAACACAGAAAAGGTTTAGAGGAGATCCACCAGAGATAAAAATGGCAGTTGTCTTGAGAAATGAAAACACTGAGACACTCACAGGATTGATGTCAGGTGCCCATGGCCTCGTCTGCTCTCCTTAAACAGAGTCCTGAAACAAACAGATAACAGGGTGGAGTTTACATAAGCCCCCTGAAAACAGAGACCTTGTTTCTAGAGCTCCCTACCATCCTTAGTACTCAGTACCTATTATTAATTAAATGTCAGAGCACTAGTGACTTCATTGCTGGTGAGAAGATCAGAAGTAGATGTGCTGGCCACCTGAAAGGCAAGAGTCTAGGATTTACCAAAAAAAGCTATGGCTCATCCGGCCAATGTGGCTCAGTTTGATTCCTGGTCAGAGCACATGCCCGGGTTGCGAGTTCAATCTCCAATTGGGTGGCTTGCAGGAGGCAGCCGATCAATGTTAATGTTTCTCTCTCATTGATGTTTCTTTCTCTCTCCCTCTCTAAAATAATAAAATCATATTAATAAAAAAAAGCTATGGTTCTACATCCAAACCTCTCTTAATGATGTTTCCCCTAAAGGCAGGAGTGCTTTCCTTGATGCCCATTCTCATCTTCTAAGAGTAAAGTGTGGATTGACCCACAGTATGTCTCTTTCCAGAGAAACTCAACAAAATGATCTTTATGCCCTTCCCTTCATACCTTCAAAAGTCCAATCTGTAAGGAGAGAAGAGCAATCCCATTTACAGATGGGATACTGAAACAAGAAAAGGTTCCATGATTTGTCCAACCCACAAAAAATCAGACCCAATCAAGAACATGAGCTCCAGGGGAGGATTCTGGGAAGTTGGCAGAGTAGAAAGCATCAGAATTAATCCTCTCTCCACCTGGACAACTGTCCTGGCAGAATCTCTCTGAAATAACTATTTTGAACCTCTAGAGACTGATCAAAGCTAGCAGCTTCCAGGGGAAGACTTGGATGGGTAAACTGTGGGATTACTTCAGCTCTTAGCACAGTAGTAGCTACCCAACCCTTAACCCCATAGTAGGTAGCTATGCACCTGTTCCCGAAGTAGCTTGCAGGAACTAGGGTGGGCAAAAGGACCTTCTCCTACAACTATCAGGATCTGTGCTCTAATTATTGATTGCTCCTTCTGTTCAGAGAGAAGCAGCCATTGTTGTTTCTCTTCCCACCATTGTGAACCCCTGCACCTCTGGTTCAAGTGACTTCTAGGAGATTTAAAGGGCCAGTGCCTTTTTTAAACACCATTTTTCAATTTTCCCCTTTTAGAAGCCAAACCTTAAAGACTAGGACATTCAAAACTGAAGACATGGGTAAAATTAGAAAGTGACTATGCATACCCAAGGAAAAGCTCAGAAAAGATTTAAGAAAACATTAAATCTACACTCAGGCTTCTCGTTGGCACACAGACAATCAACAGTGATAAAAACAAGTAAATAATAATAATTTTAACAAGAGAGTTCGAGTTCAAGTGGTAGTCGAAAGTGGACCCCAGAGAGCCCTGAGCAGCCCCACCGCCACCACAGAGCTAGTTATGATCACACCCTGGGAGAACCATAGCTGCCGCAGCCGGCCCCAATCACCATCACCGTAACCATGAGCAGGGAGGTCAAGACCCAGCAGTATCCCCACTGCCCCCCTCCAGCACTGCCAACACCAAGCCCAGCACCACAGGCAGCGGCTGACAGCCAGGGCAGCCTCACATCACTGGGGGACAAGGAGGTTATTGCAACAAAGGTTTTGGAATCAGTAAACTGGTTTAATGTAAGAAACAGATATGGTTTCATCAACAGGAATGACACCAAGGAAGATGTATTTGTACACAAGGTTGCCATAAAGAATAACCCCAGGAAGGACCTTTGCAGTGTAGGAGATGAAGAGACTGGAGTTTGATGTTGTTGAAGGAGAAAAGGTTGTGGAGGCAGCAAATGTTACAGGCCCTGGTGGAGTTCCAGTAAAGGCAGTAAATATGCAGCAGACCATAACCATTATAGACACTATCCACGTTGCAGGGGTCCTCCATGCAATTGCCAGAATAGTGAAAGTGGGGAAAAGAATGAGAGATAGGAGAGGGCTCCTGAAGGCCAGGCCCAACAGTGCCGGTCCTATCCCACGCAGCCCTATCCCAGGCGATGGTTACCACTGTACTACATGCGGAGACCCTTTGGGCATTGCCCACAGTATTCCAACCTTCCTGTGCAGGGAGAAGTAATGGAGGGGGCTGCAAACCAGGGTGCAGGTGAATAAGGTAGACCAGTGAGACAGAATATGTACTGGGGCTATAGACCATGATTTCACAGGGGCCCTCCTCACGAAAGCCTAGAGAGGACGGCAATGAAGAAGATAAAGAAAATCAAGGAGATGAGACCTAAGGTAAGCAGCCACCTCAAAGTTGGTACTGCCACAACTTCAATTACTGAAGCAGACCGCCAGAAAACCCTAAACCACAAGATGGCAAAGAGACAAAAGCAGTCGATCCACCAGCTGAGAATTTGTCTGCTCCCTAGGCTGAGCAGGGCAGGGCTGAGTAAATGCAGGCTTACCCTCTCTACCATCTGGTTTAGTCATCCAATAAGAAGAAATGCATGAAATGAAATTCCAGCAATAAGGAATGAACAAAAGATTAAAGTTGAAGACCTTAAGTGCTTGCTTTTTGTCCGCTGACCAGATAACTAGAACTATCTGCATTTTCTATGCAGCATGGGGTTTTAAAGATGTCTCTTTTTAGTAATGACAAACATATGGTTTTAAAAAAATTTTAAGTATTCAAATATTACCAGTTGCTTTCCTTTTTTAAAAAAATATTTTTATTTCAGAGAGGAAGGAAGAGGGAAAGAGAGATAGAAACATCAATGATGAGAGAGAATCATTGATCAGCTGCCTCCTGTATGCCCCACACTGGGGATAGAGTCCGCAATCCGGGCTTATGCCCCGACTGGGAATTGAACTGAAACCTTCTGGTTCATAAGTCAATGCTCAACCACTGAGCCATGCTGGCCGGTGACAAACATGGTTTTTTAAAAAAGTCTGCAAAAAAAGCATCAGCTGGCATCAGCATGCCTTATACTTCTTGATAGTTGGCCCCAGGCCTAACACTAGCAGCAGCCTGCCTTGATTCACAGCTTGGCGTCTTCTGGGCACCTCCAAGCCCATCACAAGTAGCAGCCATCTGCAGATTGCTCTGTAGCTCATGTCATAGAGCAAGGCAGTAACTGACTTTGCACCTCCCGGGAGGCCCCCAGAGCCACAGCACCCAGTGGTCAGCTTCAGACCACACCAGATTACAACCCTACCACATCCACAAGTGACACACTTAAGGGGTGGACTCGGTGAGCACCAAAGCCACACTGAAGCAAGTCCTGCTCCATAGGGGCATCTCCTGCACAGCAGCTCTTCCACTGGAGTCACAGATGGCCCTCACAGCCAATTGGATTGGAGGTCAATCCCTCCCAGTGACACCAATAGCAATCTAGGGTCAACTACAACAAGACTGTGCACACTGCCACAGAGGTGCACCGACAGTGCCCAGCTCAGGTGACCGGAGAGGCTGAGCTACTGGGCCCTATAGAACACCTACTACACAGGGCCACTCTACCAATTCCAGGAGACAAAACAGCTCTAATACACAGTAAAAAACACAGGAAAGCAGCAAAAATGCAGAGACAAAGAAACAAATGAAAGGACAGAAGAAATCTCCAGAAAAAGAATTAAATGAAATGGAAGCAAGCAAACTACCAGATAGAGTTTGAAACAATACTTCTAAGGATGGTCAAGAAACTAATGAGAACTTGAAGGAACTTAGAACATCAACATAAAAAAGGACCAGTCAGAAATGAAGGATAATTTACAGGGAATCAACAGTAGAGTAAGAGGATACCGAGAATCAAATCAACGATTTGGAATATGATATGAGGAAGCAAAAAAACACCCAATCAGAAGCAAAAAGAAAAGAATCCAAAATTATGAAGATAGTGTAAAGAGCCTCTGGAACAACTTCAACGGTACCAACATTTACATCATAGGGTGCTGGAAGGAGAAGAGGGAGTAAGAAATTGAAAATCGCCCTGACTGGTTTGGCTCAGTGGTTAGAGTGTCAGCTCTTGGACCAAAGGATTTCAGGTTCAATTCCAGGTCCAGGGCACATATCTTGATTGCAGGTCCCCAGCCCTGGTAGGGGCACATGCAGGAGGCAACCAATCAATGTTTCTCTCTCACACTGATGGTTCTTTCTTCTTCTCTCCCTCTCTCTACCTTCCCCCTCCACTATCTTTAGAAATCAATGGAAAAAATATCCTTGGGTGAGGATTAAAAAACAAAAAAGACAAGACATTAAAAACCTATTTGAGAAAATAATGAGAGCCCTACACCAGCATGGTTCAGTGATAAGACGATTGGCCTGCACACCAAAGGGTTGCAGGTTCAATTCCCAGTCAAGGGCACATATCTGGGTTGCAGGTCCGATATCTGCCCTTGGTTGGGGCGCGTGTGGGAGGCAACCAATAGATGTATCTCTGTCACATAGATATTTCTCTCTCTTTCCCCTTTACCCCTCACTTCCACTCGCTCTAAAAATCAATGGAGCCCAACCAGCATGGCTCAGTGGTTGAGTGTCAACCTATGAACCAGGAGGTCAAAGTTTAATTCCCAGTCAGGCCATATGACCAGGTTATGGGCTCAAACCCCAGTGTGGGGTGTATAGGAGGCAACTTATCAATGATTCTATCTCATCACTGATGTCTCTCTCTCTCTCTCTCTCTCTCTCTCTCTCTCTCTCCCCCTTCTTCTCTGAAATCAATAAAAATATATTTTTAAAGATCAATGGAAAAAACATCCTCACTCCTCAAGTGTTGGCAAAGGAGAAAAGGGAACCCTCACTTAGCAATTAGCAAACTGAATTCAGGGATTCTAAATTGGTGCAGTCACTAGAAAACAGTATGAAAGTTCCTCAAAAAATTAAAAATAGAACTACCATATAACCCACCATTTTCACTTCTGGGTATTTACCCAAAGACAGCCAAACACTAAATCAAAAAGAGGTATGCTCCTCTATGTTCATCGCAGCATTATTTACAATAGCCAAGATGTGAAAGTAATCCAAATGTCCATCAACAGACAAATGGATAAAGAAGATGTGGTACATACATAAAATGGAATATTAGCCATAAAATTGAAAGAAATCTTGCCATTGTGACATGGATGGACCCAGATGGTATTGTGCTTAAGTGAAATAAATCAGAGAAAGACATATACTATATCATTTCACTTATATGTGGAATCTAAAAAAAAAAAAAAAAGAAAGAATAAAATAGAAACTAACAAATACAGAGAACAAATTGTTGGTCACCAGGCAGGAGGGGGATTGGTGGGAAATAGGTGAAAGAGATTAAGAAGAACAAATTACCAGTTATAAAAATAGTCACATGGGTGTAAAGTACATCATAGAGAAATAGTCAACAATATTGTAATAATCATGTATGGTGTCCAGATGGTACCAGACTTACTATGGTGATCACTTTGTAAGGTATTTAAATGTCTAATGACTATGTTTTACACCTGAAACTAATAATAATGAATGTCAAATGTAATTGAAAAATAAATTTTAAATGAAATTTGCTGGGCACCTCTGCCCTGCCAGGCACCAAGTCATCACAATGATAGCCTTCCTACTCCAGTAAGGACAAGTTGGAGCACTGAAGACTACGCTTCTACAAGACACTTGCTCCTACAGCTTATCTCTTTGTAGAATCCAGAGTGACAAGGATCTCTGCCACCGAATCTCAAGAAGCAAAGTCCACCAAAAATGCCGGCATGAGCAGCTGCACCTTCTGAGTTGTTATACATCACCTACAAGAATCTCCAGCATCATGACTACACCATGAACACCTTCTTAGACCTAAACCTGTACTTCCTGAAATTCTGGTTGCCTGAGCCCTCTTCCAGATGAGTGTCTCCTTGCCATTGAGAGCTCAGTTTAATGATTACCCTTACGTCATCTGCTGCATTCTTGCCTGCAAAATAAAGTCCACTCAAGTCATGAAAAAAGAGACTCAAGCCCTGGCAGGATAGAGCGTCAACGTGCAGACTGAAGGGTGCCAGGTTCGATTCTGGTCAAGGGAACATGCCTAGGTTGTGGAATCGATCCCCAGTGGGGATCGTGTTGGAGGCAGCCAATCAATGATTCTCTCTCATCACTGATGTTTCCATCTCTCTCTCCCTCTCCCTTCCTCTCTGAAATCAACAGAAATATATATATTTTAAAATGACTCAAATAATCAAAATCAGAAAGTGGGGACATTAAAAAAGAAACGAATAGCCCTGGCTGGTGTGATCAATGGTTAGAACATCGGCCCACTCACTGAAGGGTACAAACCTGGGTTGCAGGTTCCACCCCCGGCCCAGTGGGGATGCATGCGAGAGGCAACCAATTGATGTGTATCTCTCACATCAATGTTTCTGTTTCTCTCTCTCTATCTCTCTCTCCCTCCTTCCCCCTTCCTCCCTTCCACTCTCTCTTAGAAAGTCAATGAGAAAAATGTCCTCGGATGAGGATTAACAAAATAAATAAAATATATATATTTTAAAGTCAATACATATAAATCAGTTGCATTTCTACACATGAATAATTCTATTCACAATTGAAAGGGTTAACTGGAGAAAGCAAGGCTTGAGCCTTACAAAATCTAACAAATGTCAAAGGGAAAGCTCATTCTGTTAGCCTAAGCCTTGCACAAACATGCTCCCCTTGAGTGGTTATTTTACAGAAATTCCTGAAGACCATCACCCCTGCACAGCGCCCCCACAGCTCTCCATGAGCGCATAAAAAGCCTGCTCCTTCCCCAATTCACCGCTAGCTCTTTCTTGAGTCAGACCATCTGCACCCAGGTGCCTCAAATAAACATCATTTTGATTACACTGAGCCTTGAAACCTCAGCCCCACCCCAAACCTTTCAACAATATTTTTTTAAAACTTAGAAATTAACTTCACCAAGGACATGAAAAACTTATAGAATGAAAACAAAACATGGCTGAAATAAATTAAAGTCAACATAAATAAATGGAAATACATGCCACATTCATGGATTAGAAGACTTAATATGCCTACAATGTTAATATTACCCAAAGTATTCTACAGATTAAATGCAATCCCTTTCAAAATCTCAAAGACAATTTTTTACAGAAATAGAAAACCCATTCTAAAATTTACATGGAATCTTAGGAAACTGGAAGACTCACAACTCCTGGTTTTAAAACTACTGCAAAGCTACAGTAAACAAAATAGTGTGGTCTTGGCATAAAGACAGACATGTAACCCAATGGAATAACAGAGAGCCCAGAAATAAACCCTCACATATATGGTCAAATAATTTTGATAAGCATGACAAAACCATTTAGTAGGGGAAAGAACATTCTTTTCAACAAATGGTGCTGGGAAAAGTGGATATCCACATGCAAAAGAAAGAAGTTGGCCCCTCACCTATGTACAAAATATACAAAAATTAACTCAAAATGGATCAAGGAAATTAATGAAAGACCCAAAACAATAAAACTCTTTGAAGAAAACATAGGATAAAAGCTTCATGACATTGGATGTGGCCATCATTTCTTAGATATAACAACACAGGCACAGACAAGAGAAAATACAAATTGAACTTCATGAATACTTAAACACTTGTGCATCAAAAGACACTATACGCAAAGTAAAAAGGCAACCCACAGAATGAAAGAAAATATTTCTAAATTATATATCTGATAAGGGACATACAAATGGCCAATAAGTATTTAACAAGATACTCAACATCCTTAATCATAAGGGAAATGCAAATCATAATTGCAATGAGATACCACTTCATACCTATTAGGATTAGGATGGCTACAATAAAATAAACCATAAACAAGTATTGGTGAGGATGTGGGGAAACTGGAACGCTGTGCACTGTTAGTGAAAATGTAAAATAGCCACTGTGGAAATTCCTCAAGAAAGTAAACATAGAATTACCATATCATCCAGCAATTCCCCTTCTGGGTACATATAAACCCCAAAGAATTGAAAGTAGGGTCTCAATATATTTGTACATCCATGTTCATAGGAGCATTATTCACAACAGCTAAAATATGGAAACAACGTAACTATCCATTGACAAATAGATAAGCAAAATGCGATACATACATACAATGGAATGTCAGTCAGCCTTAAAAACGAAGGAAATTCTGTGCTATGCTACAATGGGGATAAACCCTGAGGACATTTTGCTAAGTGAAGTAAGCCGGTCACAAAAAGATAAATACTGAATGACTCCACTTATATGAGGCACTTAAGAGTAGTCAAATTTAGAGAGACAGAAAGTAGAATGATGCAAGTGTCTATGGGGAGAGGGAAACATGAAATTATCATTTAATGGGTACAGTTTCAGTTTTATAAGATGAAAAGATTTATGAAGATAGATGGTGGTGATGGCTACAACAATGTCAATGTATGTAATACCACTGAACTGTGCACTTAAAAATGGTTATGATGGGCCCTGGATGGTTTCGCTCACTGGTTAGAGCGTTGGCATGCAGAATGAAGGGTCATGGGTTCAATTCCCAGGCCCGTACCTCAGTTGCAGGTTCCCCAGCCCCAGTAGCAGTGTGTGCAGGAGGCAGCCAATTGATGTCTCTCTCTTACATGGATGTTCTCTCTCCCTTCCTCTCTCCCTCCCTTCCACTTTCTCTAGAAATCAATGGAAAAAATATCCTCAGATGAGGATTTAAAAAAAGGTTAAGATCATAAATTTTATGTTAAGTATATTTTACCACAATAAAACATTTTTTTAAAAGAACACTAGCTCCAGCCAACTTTGGGTATTGCAGATGTAGCCTATTCATGGGAAGCTACATAATACAAAGCAGCCTATGAGAAAAGTCTAGCACTTAACTCCAATAATCAGTCAGCTCTGCTACTTGCAAATGAGACTTCTGTTCGGAACATTAAAGATGTTTCCATCTCTCAGCTTCCAGTAGGAGCCATCATCTCAACACAGGGAAGGGCAGACTGAGGTTGGAAGGGCATGGAGCCCCAATTCCTCATGCCACCCAATTCCTCATGCGAAATTAGAGTTGAGTCAACCAGACAATGGGTCCCTGAGAGAAGGAACCCTATTGACCTGGCACAATAGAAGCACTCAAATATTTCTTTACTGCAAGAATATTCACCTCGTCACACTGACCACATGTCTGTTCATGGGCACTCACCTGGCCTGCATCCAGCCTTTAGGCCAGAGAGGTCTGACCTCAGCATCCAGAAACACCTTCACATAATCCTCCCAGGAATGGACTTTGTTGTTCTTCTCCAGATCATAGCTCTCCAGTTTTATCTTCACCACATGGCAGAGTAGCTCCCTAAGGAGTAGGCAGAAGTCAGAAACTTCAAACCACCCCAAATGCTTCTTCAAGGTTTTAATCATGTGCTTTCACCAGCCTTGATTAAAGTAAATGATTCTAACCTTCATTAGAAATACGGGAACATGCTCAGACACTGGCCCCACAAACCCTCCAATGAGGCAAGGACCCAGTTTGGGCACACCTGATTTCATCATTCCACTGAAATTTCTTCCGGGGTCCCATGATCCTCCTGCCCCCCTTTTCTTCATCTTCTTCCTCATCAGAACAAATCCGTTCTCTCTGCTCCTTGTCTTTCTCCTCTTCCAGCATCCTACCGGGTGAACAGAAATAAACAGGACCCTAAAGTCACCACAGGAAAACTACTTTCTCCTGTGTCCACTACCTCCCTTTTGTCTCCCATCCCCTGGGACCTCTAAGATAAGGAGGTGAGAATGCTGATGAGAGTGATGGCACATACTTACTTAGCAACCTTGGCTTGTGTGTGGGCCTGGCATTCATCCTGGTACTTGGCCATCTGCTCTGGCATTGCCCTGCCAATGGCTTCCTTAAGCTTCTGGAGAGGCTCCTTCAGACGCCCCCCCTGCAGAGAGCAGGACATATCATAAATCTGTTTTATGTACCTCTTCTTATACTGAGGACCCACTACAGAAATAATCGCACAAAGGCAGTGCAACAGCACCTGTGACATCTGTGAAGACTCAGTCACCCCTCCTCTGGGCCCCAAAGCCAACATGTCCCACTGCAGAGTCACCCACCTGTTCACAGAGGTGAAGTTTTCGCGCACGCTTGACGAGGGTGTCCTTGCTGCAGGGCAGGAATGAAGCAAGATAGGCATATACCCCAGAACGAACCTGGCTACTCAGCTCCCGAGTTTGCACCTCTATGCTGAAGAACAGAATAGTTATCAATGGGCCACATCCCAGGCATATTCTTTCATCATTACATCATCCTACCATAGACAGGAAAAAGCTAGGAGCCAAGAGCAGGTAAAATCTTATCTCATCACACAATGCAACCAAGTGGCCGGTGCAACAGATCTCCAACAGTCACCAAACAAAAATTCCCAAACCTGTTGAACCTGGCTGAGTAAAGTGGGCTAAGGCTCTCAGGTCCAAGACAAGACCAAGTCAAACGTTATCAGAGCCCAAGAGAACAAGCTCTGAAGTATTAAATTTCATAAATGAAAAAGACAGAAAAGCTTACTGGAAAGTAACTGAGTTACTTGGGGTCAATATTTTCTAAAAGCACTTCATTACTATTCCAGTTCCCAGTCCTATCTCTGATCAGGAAATAAGGGAAATTCTCATCCCTCCAGTGTCCCCATCTAGATAAGCAAAAAACTATTTCAAATAGCCTTTGATCCCTTGAGCTCTCCCTATTTGTCATACTCTAACAGGCATTGTGGACATAAAGCTCTTATCTCTGCTGATCCTCAGGTGCTCTCCATAGCCCAGGCTTCCTGACCTGGCCAGGCAAGGTACTTTGCTAGAATATCCCTGTCTTGACAACCTTTCTTACATGTGAAAAATCCTTAGCTGTTGAGAAGCAAGCTTCCTCTGCTACATAGTGCAAAATGTAACCAGAAGAGAAGCGGCAAAGCTGGAGAGCCACATACAAAGAATCTGGTTTGAACTTATGTGTGTAGGGTTGTTTTGTTGTTGTTGCTTTGCTTTTTAACCCAATTCATACAGTGTAGCATCTCAGAGGTTCAGGCATTTGGGAGAAGTATTAAAGGATGGTGCACACTGACCCTGGGAGGAGAAGTGACAGCAAGGAAAGAATGACCAGGTACGCTGAAGAGCACCCAGGAGAGCAGGCCCCTGGCTGTACCAAATCATCTCTTACTTTTCCCAGAGACAGGCAGGCAACACCTTCTTTTTCATCTCATGTTTGCCACAAAATCCACTTCCAACAGGCCATGACAGTGTTCTAATAATGTCTGCTACCTAAGATTAGTAATGTCTATTATTTCCTAGAGACAAATATTTTGTGTGCCCTCCCTCTTTAAAAAGAATAAAACAAAAATAATTTTTAAAAAATCTCATCAGTGGTCAACTTTATGTAGTTCAATCACACTCCCAATACCCTGGCCTGCTCAAACCCAGGCATGCTAACAGTAAAGAAACAAAAGATACTCACTCTAAGAGGATGCCATTAATATCCTGGGTGAAGAACTTCTGTCTGCTCTCTCCCTCAGCAGCTCTGGCAGCCTGGTTCATAGCAGACAGTAACATCCATTAGTGCACTTTCCCAACAGGGCCCTCACATTCACCCACAGGCACAAGAGCAGTCAGTCCCTACAGAACACCTATCGATAAAGTCCTCACCATGCCCACCTGTGATCACTATATGCTCTAGAAATGGTATATCCAGCTCTTTTCAAATGCTGCTGAAACATCTATGGACTGTCTATTCTGCCCGGGACTTGAAATAAAGTCACATAAAAGAAAATCAGAGTCAAAGCAATCATTGTGCATTCGATTTTGCCAGCTAGCTAACTTTTGTTCCCAGCACTCTATCATCTAAATTACAAGTTGGAATTGCCATACATCTGCAGTACAAAAACAATCAAGAACTGTTTTTAAACCTGCAATATTTGAAAACCTTCATCTACCAAAATAATAATAATGTGCTGCATTAGCATTTAAGAACATTATAATTCTCTGAAAATTCATAATTTACTTACAGTATATCACAAACTCCATTACCCAGACCATTGGAATTACTAACATACCTTACTACCTATTAACACAAGATATAACAGGTTACTATACAATGTTTTGCTTCCTATGAGAACACAGTTAACATCTGGATGGCAAGCTTGGAAACCCCTGAAGCAACCATAGCAAGCAGCCACAGCCCTGAAAGCACAAGTGAGGAAAGCTAACTGCTAAAGTCTTAACCAGTGGTTCTCATAGTTGGCTTCACACTGAAATCACCTGGCAGCTTTACCCACCCTGGACCAATCAAATCAGATTCTCTAGGAACGAGGCTCATGAATTTGTATTCTTTAAAAAAAGCCCAAGTATCAGTACTCTTTAAAAGTAACTCTTGTGACTCTAAAGTACAGAAAGGATTGAGAGTCACTGATCTAAACCCAAGAGTGGCTGGTCCAAAGGCTTTAGGCAAAGTAAAACTGCAGGCATGGTATACAATATAATAATGATGGCAAACAAAGGCAATAAGGTGACTACCTAAAATGAAATGATCAATCCTGATCAAGCCCTCTGAAACAGCAGGCACCAATAACTATCCTCCACTTTCATCTCATCCCACTTGCCTTCCTCACTAGGTCCTTGTCCTACCTCTGACTACTCCACCTGTCTCTTCCACTAGTTCGTTCATTACAGATGGACCCCCCAAAGTTCTACTTAGAACTCACTTCTCCCAGTAACACCTTCCTCTTCACAGCTTCAAAAACAACACAAATGCACGTAGTCTCTGTAATCTAAATCTCTAGCAGTGGTTCTCAACCTTCTGGCCCTTTAAATACAGTTCCTCATGTTGCGACCCAACCATAAAATTATTTTTGTTGCTACTTCATAACTGTAATGTTGCTACTATTATGAATCGTAATTTAAATATCTGATATGCAGGATGGTCTTAGGCGACCCTTGTGAAAGGGTCGCTCGACCGCCAAAGGGGTCGCGACCCACTGGTTGAGAACTGCTGCTCTAGAGTAAACCTTTTATTCTAAGCCCTAATCAGAATTTCCAACTACTTCTAAGAAATTTCCAATTATATCTATAAATGGATGATCCTCTGGTATGCAAACCCAACTTATGCTCATAGAGAAAAAGAACTGAATCTTATTCATCAATATATTTCCCACATCGACCTATCATATAATAGATGCATAGTAAATGCCAGCTGAGTGGATGGATGAACAAATGAACAGATAGCATTGAAAGAATGAAAATTAGAGGAAGAAAAACTCAGTATCAAACAACCAAACATAACTTGCAGCTTCTGCAAGATCCCTTGGCTAATAGGATAGCACAGAAGCCTGAGATGAAAGGAGTCAAATGGATGGATGGAATGGTAGAAATGGTGTGACTTTTAACCCATTCATCTGCCAATTTCTTATACTTTCAGAAGGATTTGGAATTCTAACTTGGCACTTTTAATGTACTGCAATTATGATTTTAGTTTAAGAGAAAATAAAACCAAGCCATTCTTTTGCTTAAGCTTATACACTACTAGTTGTAAGATCCAGAAGCATCTTCATAGTATTCAACCTAATTACTTCAACATGTACTTCAAATGCCCCACTGTTTATCAGACCCGTCATTGAAGATTTATTTTCCTGATGCCTTTTGGATTGTGTGCCCAAACAGGGTCTGTTTTTATATTGAAGATAATTAGTCAAGTGCTACATTTTTATTTTTTTAAGATTTTTTATTTTATTTTGATTTTTAGAGTGGAAGGGAGAGGGAAAGAGAGAAATATCCATGTGAGATCAAAACATCGATCAGCTGCCTCCTGAACGCCTCCTATGTGGGATCGAGCCTGCAACTCCAGCATGTGCCCTGACCGGGAATTGAACCAAATGGCAACCTTTTGGTACATGGGACAATGCCCAACCGAGTGAGCCACGCTGGCCAGGGAAAGTGCTGCATTTTAAAATACAACCTTAAGGGACATCCTTGCCCAAGGAGTTGAATGAACTGATCAATCCAAGATTAAACAGAAAGTAAGCCTGGCCAGCATGGCTCAGTGGTTGAGTGTTGACCTATGAACCAGGAGGTCACGGTTCGATTCCCCGTCAGGGCACATGCCCAGGTTGTGGGCTTGATCCCCGGTGTAAGGCAAGAAGGAGGCAGCTGATCAGATTCTCTCTCATCACTGATGTTTCTATCTTTTTCTCCCTCTCCCTTCCTCTCTGAAATCAATTAAAAAAATACATTTTTTTAAAAATAGGAAGTAAAGTTAAGCCAGCCAGATCATGCTAATCTACAGTAGCTCCAATAACCTTTTAATAAGCTGTTTTATTTATTGTAAGAAAAGCCACTTAAAATCTTTCGGCACCTAGTTCAGAACCTTATATACCATACCTGTTTTTGCTGAACAGAATGAAATCTGTCATAATTTTTTTTAAAGAAGATCAAACAGGTTAGTTTTTTCCAACTTTATCCTTCTTGGATCCATGTCTCCCTGGATTTGCAATGCAGGGGTTCTAACTCAGTAGGACAGTAAGCAGGTAAGAGCAGCAGGGTGGGTGACATGGGGTCTCTGTTTCTTTTCTAGTCTTAGTATTGTTCCCATTTTATGCTTGACTAAAGAGGACCAAAACAGACCTGGGTCATCTGTATGAACCAGGCTGAGAGACTGCCAAACTAAAGGTAATAACCTAAGGGGGCAACACACCTGAGCTTTCCAACAACCAAAACAAAAGACACATTGAATCAAATCACTGGATTCTCTGGGGCCCATAAAAATGTACAGTTCAAGGGAGTAAGAAATTAAAAATGGGTATGAGAAGAAAACAGTAAATAACGTATGGGCAGCATTCACCAAGGTCACCCTCTTGGAGGGCCTCTTTAGCATACTTAAACTTTCAAATATATTTTTCAAAGTTTTAAGTTATCACTTCTAGCTAGAAAATAAATCTAATTTGTTTCCCACAGAAAAAGTTTTTCCATAAGGGATGACATCAGATTAGAATCTGCTTATGTTCTGTGGTAGACCTCAAACAGGACCACATTTTCCTCCCCTCCCAGAACATGCATTCCTGCCTCAGGAAGAGGTGGTCTCTAGTTCCCCAACCCTCCAATCCGGTGTGCGCTTGTGACTCACTTTACCAACACAGTGTGGCAAAAGTGATGTGGTACATACAACTTCTAAGGCTAGATCTTAAGGGCCTTATGACTTCTACAATGACCCTCTTGAAATATTGCCCTGAAACTGCCATGCACTGAAAAAAGGCTAGGAAGACCAGAGGAGAAAGAAGCCCCACCGTCCCAGCACCCAGTCATCTTGCCAGCTGAGTGCAGGTACAAGAGAGCACCCAGGTAGGACAAAGAAGAACCACCCAGCCAACCCACAGAGTCAGGAGAAATGAATTGCTGTTTGAAGTCACTGTTTTGGGATAGTTTTTTAGTTAACAGTAGAAACTGACACATTGTATCATCTAAGGCCAAGATTTAAAATCTAAACAAATTATTATTAAAATAAAAGCAATAAGAAGAAAAAAAGAAAAATGAAGGGAGTGAAAAAGTGAGAAATACATAACATTGCTAATGTTATAGTTATATACATCAAGTTTAATTTAAGCTTTTAAAATGCAATATCCAGTTCAAGATCTAGGTTAGGGCTCCTTATTAAGGATCCAAATACCCATGTACGGCTTTTGAAATTCTATGCAATTCCTGTATACATAGGCATTTTTCCCTAGGAAGACTATCTTTCCCAGCATATTCTCAGGAGGGCCTGAGTCTAGAGCACTCATGCACATGGTCTGGAGGCTCCAAGTGTCCCAAGTGCAGGACCCTGTAGGAACAAAGCACCTGGGGATCCTCAGAAGTGGCATTAAGTAACTTTCTAAAATAAGCCTTCTTTTTCATGCAACCATTAAAAGTGATGAGGGCTTTATAATATTTATTAAGTGAAGAAAGCAGGAAACAATTATTCACAACTATAATTACAACTACATAAAAACATATACACAGAGGCTAGAAAAGAATATGTAAATTAAAAATAGTTTTCAGATTGTCAGGATGATGGGTAATTCCCACTTTCCACCTCATTTTCCAAAGTCCTTTTTTAATGCTGTTATAGAAGCGTCAGAAAATGACTAACGTATCAATTTCACATTTGAACATTATATTTTTCAAGCCAGTACATCAAACTCTCCTGGTCACCACTGCCCCACCAGAACCCAAGCCTACCTTACCTATGGAATCCTGAACTCTCTCTCCATTATGCCCAAGAGATAACTGAGACTTGGCAGTCACTGAGGAAGGACAGCTTGCTCATAGTGTCCATCCAGGGCACTCCAGAAAGTGAGGCTTTCTTGAATCACAGCCCAATGCTGTTTCATGTTATGTCATTTTGTTTCCACTAAATTTGTCCATCTTTCCCAAGAAAGGGAAATAATGAGTATAAGTCATTAGACTAGAATACAACCTGTGGTGGGAGTCAGGACACATCCAAGAATTGCTTTGACTTTTCTCTAAAAAACGACTAGCTACTGCCACACATACCTTATTCAACTTACTTAACATGACTTTCAGATGCTACAAAACAATTTGATTACAAACCGAAGGATTGAAAAGAACAAGAAGTAATGGTTGACATAAATTCTGAGAGTAAATATAGGACAGTATGCTCAAACATGCCAAGTTCAGATTCAACTACTTCCAACTACTTCCAACTTAATGTCCTATTAAGATATACTCTGAATGTGGTACAATTCATTTAAATCATTACATTCAAATAGAACACCTCACACAAACTAATGAAAATAAATAGTTTAGTTTACTTCATATATTGTATTCAAATATTTTTTGGAAGTGAGAAAATCATTGGTAGCACTAGTTAACATTTACCCTGCCCTAAAACACAAGGGATATTATACCTATAGTGATTCTGGAACATTATGAGAATCACTGGTTTAAAACTTATAGCTATATAAAATAAAAATAAAACCTTACAGCTATGGAGTGTAAATGCCACAGGAGCTGCATGACAAGCCATGATGCCCAAGGTGAAAGGTTATTTTAACCGAAGGGTCAATGTCATCATGACTAACAACCCATGCTTGGTTTATAGGTTACTGAATTGACAGTTCTTAGCACTCTAGGGATCAATTCTCAGTTACCAGGGGAAAATAGCAATGGCTGCTCGTTCTGATAGTTGTTGCTGTTTTTAATAGAGCATGAACAGCATTTCAGGTTCTGCTCCTTTTCACTTATCACCATTTAGGCATTCTGTAATCAGTACCTAATATTGATGACATGCAAGTCTAGGGAGCAACTGAAACCCAGTGACAATTAAGTATATACTCTATGTGTAACATGTCTGCAAACTTTTGTGAATTTCCAAAACCTTCAACAGATTACTAATAAAAAGGTGGATCTCTGCCTTAGCTGCTTGCTGCCAACATTAGTGTCAGTCTATCACACAAAAGGAAAAATACTCTGTGGGAAAGGAACCTACAGGCAGAAAATAGAGAGAAAAATCTCCCCAGAAGAAAGTAAATTTTCTAAGAGTTAAAGAATCACAAAAGGTCTAAAAACGGTATCTGACAAGCAGAGCTTACACTGTTTCCTCACTTGGGATGAGAAGAGAGCCTGGAAAAGATTACAGTAAAATTGCCAATTCACTAAGAGTTGCTCTGGGCAGCAAGCTTCACGCGGTGCAGAACCAGTGTCAATCTGCCCAAACCGCTTCCAGGAAAGCCTGGCCACTCTGTGTCACCATACCTGAGCCAGCTCCTTAACGCGCTTCTCCAGGGGTGCAGGCAGGCCTTCAGGGAGGGAAGAGGGCTGCCTGAATTCCTGGTCCAGTCCCACCCCAAGGGAATCACTTTCATCATCCATATCGCGGAAGGGGCTTCCTTCTGGAGACTCACTGAGCAGATGCTCCAAGTCCAAATCAGTCAGTGAGTCCATGGCAGTGGCTGCCTGAAGCAAGTCATTGTCAGAAGTGGAGCCGAAGAGTGACAGCAAGGGGTCAGAGGTGCCCTCCAATTCCCGTAGGCCCTGAGCTTCTGTTGACGAGACCGCTACGGACTTATGCTCTTCGTCCCTCTTTCTCTGAGACTCTTTCTCCTTTTGAAATTTCTTTAGCATCTCTTTAACATTCAAAGCCCCAGAATATTTCTTTTTTTTCTTCTCTTTACTGGCATTGAGGGCTGTGAAGCTGCAAGTAAGGGGGAAACTGGTTACTAAGGCTGCAGTACACCTCAAAAGGGAAATTCACAGAGGGATTTCACCCCTGTTCCCAGCACAATGGTCTCCAGGAACCTCAGTCACAAGTCCACCCTCCTCCCTCCTCTTGGCACATGGAGCTCCTTCTTACTAGGATGAAAGCTTGAGATTTAATACAGGTTAGCAAAACTGTGTCACAAAGTGCTATATACCCAGTGGCTTTTAAAAAACACTGCCAAGCTGAAATAAAAGGATGCAAAAAGGGGATGAGCAAGGAATGTATTGAAAGGGAGAAAACAGGAGCAGCAGCAACTTGAAGGGCAGCTGGGGTGAGACTCAGTGAGGCAAAGAAAGCAGAACCAGAGAAGACAAAGGGAAACAGCAGAGATAGAAGGAAAACTGGGGCAGAGGAGATGTGCCCAGAGAACAAGAGACAGCAGCAATCATACAGTGACAGAAACCGCCGCCAATACTGACAGTGGGACAGAGAGAACTCTGGATGTCTGACACAAAGAGATGTGAGAGCACTGACTATGCCCAAATGGCACTGTGCGAGGCGTGAGAGGGAATGGAAGGCCAGGCCCAGCTGCCTCATCTGAAGCTGAGAGGAGGAGCACAAGTCAGCTCCTAGGTGTCCTGCCCTAACAGTTCAGATTTCATCCTAGCAAAGAAGCTGCTGCCTCTCACCCGGCTTTGGAAAACTTGGACTTTTTCGATTTCTTCTCCTTGTCATAAGTGTCATCTTTTTTCTTCTTCTTCATCTTCTCACCACCTTCCTTCAACTTCCGCTTCTGAGAATTAAAGACAAGGCACAGTTACACGGCTCCCTCACTCAGGAAGCAAGTACACAACACTGGCCTTGCTCTGTCCAGGGCATATCCTGATAACTATCCTACTTTGTTCTTTCATGAACAAAAGCTTTCAGATCTGTTCCTGGACCACAGACCAGTGGCAGGACAATACAGCATTTCCACCAACAGTGTCTCCTAGAAGCACCTGGGGCTGAGACAACAGTGGCCATTGTAGAGCCAGAAACCTTTCTAGTTTGAAATGAGCTGTATGTGGGCCCTGCCTCTCATGTTAAACACACAGGCAGTGATAGATTTCAAAATAAACTTATCTTAAGGCTAACTTGTTTCCACTGGGTGACACCCCTAGGAACTGAAGACCTCTACATGTCCACAGTAGAGACAGGGCAATACTGATGCAAACTCCCCTCACTTCACACCCTTCACTGCCCTCATCCCCACCCTGAGATGACCTCAAGAAAGAAATCCCTGCCAAGCCAAGCCTGCTGGGACTCACAGCACCTCGCCACAGCACAGGTGTGAGAGATGAACTGTCAACTTTGGCACAGCTCATGCCTTTCTACCAATCTCCTAAGCCAGTGGTCGGCAAACTCTTTAGTCAACAGAGCCAAATATCAACAGTACAACGATTGAAATTTCTTTTGAGAGCCAAATTTTTAAACTTAAATTATATAGGTAGGTATATTGTTATTAACTTAATTAGGGTACTCCTAAGGCTTAGGAAGAGCCACACTCAAGGGGCCAAAGAGCCGCATGTAACTCGCAAGCCGCAGTATGCCAACCACTGTCCTAAGCTATCCTAAAACGGCACATATTCTAGCAAGTCACCCACTGATCTCACAAGGTTTAAAAAAAAAAAAAAAAGCACTTCTGAAATTCAAAAGCGAACAATGTTCTAACCTTTGGAGATTTTTTCTTCTTTTCTTTAATAAAGTCATCCTCAGATTCTGATGCTTGTCGAAACTGCAGGGTTCCTGAGTTAATGTAAAATCCTCCATACTTTGTAGTCAAAGAAGCAGGAACAAGCTCATCATACTGAAAGGGGAAAAACAAATAGCTGCAATTGCTGCTACTACAGTCCAAAGACGCAGAGCAGATGTTTCCCTATCACATTTCAGACCAAATGCCTACACATGCTTCTGGTCAATCATGACCGTCTGAGCTAGAAGGTGTTTTGGGCAGATCTGGTATCCTTTTCAGTGAAGAAACCAAGACCCAGATCAAGGGTGTCTCTTCCTCCCTCGTCAGTGCAGCTCCTTCCTCATGCTAAAGGCAGGCCCACTCTGACCCATCCCCTAGCTTCTGGGCCATTACCAGTAGGAGCAAGGATGTGGTCATTCCTATGTGGCATTTTCATTAAGTACGTACCGCCTCAGAGTTATCGATGAAGGAATCGGATTCATCATAACCATACCCCATATCAATCAAGTCCTGTAATCGGTCTTTTCTACGTTTTTTTCCACCCTAAAATTTAAAATAGGTTACATGCTTTTTTTTCTTTTTTTGTAATTGTCGTAAGAACACATAATGAGATCTACCTTCTTAACAAATTTTTAAGTCTAAAGTCACATGCTTTTTTTTAATCCACAGAATTAATTGTTGCCTTTTTCCATCAGCTAGTGACTAAAGGGTATAAAGCACTCAACAGTCACACTCCCCCTTCCCAAATCTCCTTCCACAAAGACCTTTTAAAATAAGATAGATTGCATAAAATGGCCTAAGACAGAAGAGACCAAATGGCTTCATATGTCTTTTACCAAAATATTTATTGAGGATCAATTCTAGGGGTAAAATTTATTCTAAGGATAAATTCTAGGGGTTCATTCGTCCATTTAGCTGCATCTACTAGTCCTAACACATGCATTTTCTGTATCTTCATGCATTTGTTTATAACTGCATTATGTTCTCTCCAAGCTCTACACTTGTTTCCACATCAGTGTTGATTAGATGATACTCCACTAAAAGAATGTGGAAATGTCTAGAAACCTCTCACAAAGAGAAATCTTACATATTTTTCTTCAAATTTCCGGGCAAGGGCCTCCACTTTATGCCTTTCCTTTTCTTCATCGTTAAAAGGATCTGAGAGATCTTTCTTCTGAAAAGAGACCATTTCACAAAATAAAAATTCCCAAAAATTCCCACCATGTATTCATAATACATTCACTGACTACTCAACACCTATAAAATGCATAATAGTAACAACTGTTTTTAAGACAAGGTAGAATACATGCTACTTCCCATCAGTGTTTACCTTAGCAGTTTAAGAAAGAAAAACTTCCATTCATGTAATTCATCAAAACTAAATGCCTACAATTACCCACATCACTAGGTCCTGCAGAGCTCCAAATATGGCAAAGGGCCGTTAGTCAAGGATGCTCAACCTATACAGACATGTGTTTCAATGTAGTTGGTTTTTGTCAACCTAAAAATTATTTTATGTACTTAAAAACATTACTGTAAGGAGGGATTCACTTCCAAAGCAGTCAGTGGCTCATAAAGGTTAAGAACTCACTGAATATAGCACAAGTTCTTAAGAGTTATTCTGCTTTTTGGTCAGAAGAATGGTATAAATTTGCTCTTCTCTCAGTTCTACTGAAAATCAAACCTAGGTTCATGGCAGTCCCTTTCTTTGGACACCTATCTTGAAGAATCAGTAATCTCTTTCCTCCCAATGTCAATACTCACTCCAAATATTCTAAGGATAAATTTCAGGGGTTCATTTGTCCATATAGCACATATACTAGTCCTGCCGCATGCATTTTCTGTATCTTCATGCATTTGTTTATAACTGCATTCTGTTCTCTCCAAGCTCTACATTTGCTTCCACATCAGTGATTAGATGATACTCCACCACAAGAATGTGGAAATGTCTAAAAACCTCTCCTCCTGCCTTCCCAAAATACTACCCCATCTTCAAGGGTAACAACTGCCTTGATTTCCAACAGCTTAGATTAGTTTTGTCTGTTTTTGTATTTTATAAAGATGGAATTATACAGTATGAGCAGGAGCGAGGGAAAGAGCAACTGTAAGCATCTACTGTATACCTGTGCACTATGCGAGGCACTGAGGGTAGATTGGTCGGGTCCCACACTGTAGCATTTCTCTAGTGTAGCTCTTAGTCAGATGGGAATTAGGCTAGTACCTGGCTCACAGAGTGTCTGAGATCATGTTGGGTTTCTGGTGTCCTAGAAAATGTTTTATTTTGTGATTGAGGCACAGGTTACATGGATGTGTTAGGTTTGTGGAAATCCATTAAGCTGTGCATTTATCAGGTGCACTTTTCTTTTTAAAAAACAGTATGTTTTAATTGATTTTGAGAGAGAGAGAAAGGAAGAGGGAGGAGGGGGAGAGATAGAAACATCAATGAGAGAAAAACATCAATTGACTGACTCCTGCATGCCTCCCTCTTGGTGCTACCACACTGGCCTGGCATATGTGCATTCTTCTTAAGTGCATAAACTATATATATAAAAAAGCCTAACATGCAAATTATCCCCACGGGAGTTTGACCGGGAGACCAATTGCTCGCTATGACGTGCACTGACCACCAGGGGGTAGTGCGGAACAAAGGAAGGCCTCGGCCAGCAGCCAGCAGCCAGCAGCAGGAAAAGGAGGCCCCAGCCGGCAACTACAAGGCCCCGGCCCTGATCACTGGCCAGGCCTAGGGACACTACCTGTGCATGAATTTTGTGCATCAGGCCTCTAGTTCAATTAATAAATTTATACAAAATTTTTACAATGCTAATGAGTTACCAAAACATCAGTAATAGTTGAAACTGGGTGATGGGTACATGGGCTTATTATATTATTCTCTCTAGTTTATGCATGTTTGAGAAGTTCCATACTAAAAGGTAAAAACAAATCCGCCAAGAAAACAAATATAGTAAAACCTCGATATAACAGACTAATTCAGGCGAGGGAGTGCCTGTTAAAGCCAAAAGTCCATTATATAACAAATTGGGTTTTCTGAATGCATGTTGAAAAATTGAGAAATTAGTTAATTTACCTGTTTTACTTTTATAGACACGTTTGTGTAATTAAAATTATGTATGAAAAGTTTAATTTCACAGAAAGGTTTTCTATATATATCACAGTAATTTTACATTTGTACTAAATAGGTCTAGTAAATGAGTGCATTCACCAGTCACCAAGAGAAAACAAATGCACACGGCAGGGGCGTGGCTTATCCCACGTGGGAACATCAGCTGCACGTGTCAAAACTGCTGCAGAAAGTCATGCCATGAGACAACACAGCCAATTACCAAAGAGATGCGGTGTGATCATTTGCTAATCATTCACTGAGCACTGTTTAAGAGCAGTGACTCTTGGATTTAAATATGTAGACTACAGTTGTAGATATTTAATATTTATGTCAGCAAAATTACTAGTGTTTTTTCCAACAGACGACCTATTCGCTAAAATTTGTTAAAAATAACAGTGAATTGCCCGGCCAGCGTGGCTCAGTGATTGAGCATCAACCTATGAACCTGGAGGTCATGGTTTGATTCCCGATCAGGGCACATGCCCAGGTTGTGGGCTCAATCCCCAGTGTGGGTCATGCAGGAGGCAGCCAAACAACGATTCTCTTTCATCATTGATGTTTCTGTTTCTCTCTCCCTCTCCTTTCCTCTCAAAAGCAATAAAAATGCATTTTTTTAAAATAAAGTAACAGTGAATTAATAAAAAAACTAAACTGATAACTTAATTATAAGCAAATCTTGGTTAAAGCATTTTAAAATTAACAGGGTGTTAATTTTCATATATGACATAAGGAACAGAAACTTTTTCCGTTAAATCCTAAATCCATTAAATCCAGGTTTGCAAAATTGAGGGTTTACTATAGATCGTTTAAAAAACACTTGAAAAATCAAACTGATTCTCAAAAGCTCCCCCAGCAAATAAATAAAACAAGAAAGAAATTAAACACAGAAAAATAGGTTTCTATCCTTCTAAGTAACTATCCAGAATATTACTGTGCTGAGAAGAGATGAGCAGTGCGTATCTTTTCTTGTCTGCCTTTACACGAGGCAGAGTGAGAATCCCTTGGAAAAGAAAAATGTCCAGCATGAAATCCAGCAATGGAACAGCCAGAGAGTGGTCACATTTACATATATGTAATATTTAGAGACTTGGCATGAAAAAATTTGTTGTTTCTTTTATTTATATTATTTAGCCATAATTAAGATTAGCTTTGGATGTGCCTTACATTTTCTCCAGCATAAATCAGGAGAATGGTTCTAGAAAGAATTCTATCCCTTCAGGCCTAGGGACAAAACCGGCAAACCTGGTGCTTGCTTTGGGATGGGTGCCATGATCTCGGGGCAGCCAAAGCCTCCCTAGTCTTGCTTTCACCTCTGGAAGTACTATTTACACATGCTGCCCTGAGCATTAGATCTTCAGTGAGCCTGGGGCCATTGGGGTATACCTTGTCTCCAGTTTGAAGGCCTTTCACTTTCCCTCGTATATTCTTCACAAGCTCTGGGTAGAAGAATTCCGGGCAGCGCTTGTGATCTGGCTCAAAGAGGGTGAGTGTAATCCGAACAGCTGCTGCAGCCGGCTCAGAGTCCTGATGCTGCTCTGCTCCCACAATCTCCTCCTTCCGGGACTTCTTCAAAAACACAGGATTCAGAGAACCTGGGAGAGAGGTGAACTGGACCCTGTGGGGCTCCGACATGGCTACCAGCAAGTCTTAGCGGATGTCACTGCATGGCTTCTGTTAACATTGAAAAGGAAGGCCAGGTCAAACCAAGATTTTTCCTGTTCCGTTATACAGATTTAAGTTTAAAAGAATTTCATTATCAAGAAGAATCCATTGGCCCTGACCGGTTTGGCTCAGTGGATAGAGCGTCGGCCTGCGGACTGAGGGGTCCCAGGTTCGATTCCGGTCAAGGGCATGTACCTTGGTTGTGGGCACATCTCCAGTAGGGGGTGTGCAGGAGGCAGCTGATTGATGTTTCTCTCTCATCGATGTTTCTAATTCTCTATCCCTCTCCCTTCCTGTCTGTAAAAAATCAATAAAATATATATTTTTTTAAAAAAAAGAAGAATCCATTGTTCAATTTATCGTAATTACCATTTATTGTTTTTTTTCTGTTTAAATACTATTCATCAAATATAAAATTTTTTCATACATATGAAAATTTCATATATATATGAAATTTTTTTATATATCCTCAGATTTCTTTAGCATACTTTCTTCCAGTCTTTTTTTCTATGTATATTCACTAAATCCTTGACATCAGAGAGAGCTTTAAAGAATCCTCATAATTGCACAGAATCCTAGAGATATTGTTTTTTTTATTTACCCAACATTTTTTGTTGTTGTTGTTAATCCTCACCCCAGGATATTTTTCCATTGATATTTTTAGAGTGGAAGGGAGGGGGAAAGACAGAAACGTTGATGTAAGAGAGACTCATCAATTGGTTGCCCCGCCCCCCGCACATGCCTTGACCAGGGCCTGCAACCAGGGAATAAGCCCTTGACCGGAATCCAACCCAGATAGCCAAACTGACCAGGGCTCTCCAACACTTTTTTTCTGGCTAAGATTAACCTCTTTTGTAAGACCTCTTTATTTTCATTACCAGCAATTTACTTTCATTTAGAGCCATCCTTCGCAAAGTTTTCATTAGCTCAGAGTAACGCCTATCCTGGAATAAGTAAAAAACCCAATATCTCAAGAGTGGTGTAACTAGGCTCACTTCCTAAGACACCAGTTTCTGGCATGGCTCAGTGGCTCAGCATCGACCTATGAACCTGGAGGTCACAGTTCAATTCCTGGTCAGGGTGCATGCTCAGGTTGCAGGCTTGATCCCCAGTGTGGGGCATGCAGGAGGCAGCCAATAAATGATTCTCTCTCATCACTGATGTTTCTCTCTCTCTCCCTTCCTCTCTGAAATCAATAAAAACGTATTTTTTAAAAGCTGGAATTTAAAAATATTAATAAGACACCAGCTTCTCACCACCCAAACTCAGGTGTTGGCAAAGTGCCAAATTATCACATGCCAAAGACCTTCAAAGTTACTTGAAAATAGTTAGGGTATACATATTGTAAACTCCAGAATTTCAAGGGTTTACAAAATATAAATAAGCAAATATACCAGACACACACACATATATTGTGCTTCATGTATAAATTGTCTCCAGCTTTTTAAAACTCACATTCAAGTGTGAACTTGTTACCACATCTGTATGGACAGTCATTGCAGCCTTGTGTTTAGGAAAAATAATAAAAGCAACCTAAATCTGAATGTCCAGCATTAAGGGAGTGGTCAAAAAAACTAAAGCTCTTTTGTTGATTTGTAAGGGCTTTTGATATAGCCTTGATATATAACATGTATTATATATAGATATATATACATGTGTGTATATGTGTGTGTGTGTATAT